TTTATGCAGATCAAGATATTTTTCTGGACACAATTCAACTCATTATCTCATGAGCAGAAGGGCGTAAGAATGCACGTAAACAGGAGCATGACTGTTTGGCAGAAGGACTCAACCGCGAGAAGATAATTTAAGTTGGTTTCTATTTTCATTTTGGAAAGATTGAATTAACCACGTCATTCCAACCTGCTGCTCTCCACCTTTAGGAATCACAGGAATCTCCTGGCCTTTTAGGCTCCCATCCTTTGCTCGCACAGGCTCAGTGCAAATGGAAAATTGTTTCTTGGCTGCAGCCCGCAGAAAAACAAAACAGCTCTGTGTCAGGGCTGGGGAAGCTTTCTATTCAGGCGACGTTTCTATGAATCACAATGTAGTTACAGTCTGATTCAGGTGGAGGAATGAAGCAGGCCCTTGGTTCCGCTGGAGGAGCAGAAAATCTCTGAATACATAGCAAGTACGTTGCAGAGTATAATTTGCTGCAGAGAAAATTCGCAGCTGTGACTTAAAGCTTGAGAGCGTTTCCCACCTGATTTGTTACCAACAAACCCAGCAGAGGAAATACATGGTTGACCTGTCAGAGTGTTGTAGGCAAGCTTGAAAAGGTAGAATTAAGTTTACTCTTTCATACAGTGCGTAGTGGTCAGAAGAATGCAGAAATGCATTTATAACTTCTATAACCTTGGAAAAGAGTACTTTAACTTCACATTAGCCTTTAAGCATCGAAACATTTTTGGTTATTAGTCTTTTGTAGTGGATGTGGTGTGTAGCACAAGGTGATTTAAAGAAAAAAAAATAGTTGCTTCGCACCAGAGAAAAAAGCTGAAAATGAATATGGTGCTCAGAAGTTAGGAACTGCGTTTTACAACGGTCACCACCCTTTCTGAATTGTGTGGCTGGGTGCTTTCAAAAGGTGATTTAAAAACGGGACAATGCCATTTAAAAACCTGCAGAGGAGTTTTCCCTTCGCCTGCATTTGGGCCAGTGAGCGTGAAGGGATTAACTGCTTTCAGTATTCTCCATCAGACTAAAAAAATCCCTTGATTGCTTCTTTACAAAAAATAAAAATTCAAATCGCACACTGGTTGGATAATTATAAGTGCATAATAGAAAGCAGCTATATTTTTTTTTACTTGGTTGTTGAACATGTTTCATTCTAAAACTAAAAGGCCTTTTTATTAAAGTTTTATGACTTTTTGTTTATTATTTGTTGAGGAGATAATTAAAAGGTCCAAGTAGGCCTGAGTGGGTATTGGGTTTCTTGAGTAGAAATATATATATAAAAAAATAATGAAGTTTTCCAGCAGGCACCAAACCCCCTTTTTGTGTTAGCTGTTTCTCTGTTACTTTCTGAAAATATGGCAAAGTATTGTGTATTTAATGGGCACTGTGGTGGATTATTTGAGTATACAAAGTAGAATCTGTCACATCTTCTAACACCAAACCAGCAACCCTCCATTTTAGCTCAGAGATATACTGCCAACCTGTCCTGTTAACAAGAGCGACTTCGGCAGAAAAAGTAGTGCTGTGGTTGGTCTTTGCCCTAAGCTGCACTTGGCTAACGCCTATTTTTGTGGCTCTGACATATTGTTCTTTTTTCCACAACCAGTACATTTAGTGTTTAACAAGAATGCGTTATAAAGCTAAAAATACACAAAAACATTAAAAAAAGGCACACAGACCTTATGTCAACCAGAAGGTCAGGAGTGTCGTTGTTTGGTTAACCAACAATGCTGGTCATAGTTTTGCACTTTGTCAATGTAACGATACGGCGTGAGAGAACTCAGGTTATGCCAGCTCTTTGTATGACATCCAAAATATAAGACTTTTAATAGACTTTTTTAACAGTTTTGCCACTTGCGAGTTCATTATTTGTGGATTCACCTGGTCGCAAATTTTTTTTGTGGAAAAAAAATTCTCACAAAATTTTTATTGATGGAAAAATGTCTACTAGAGAATCTTTTTGTCGAGCATTTCTAAAATATTTGATGATAAATACATCTTGGGAAGCTGAAGTTCTTGTCTTATTTGCAGTTTGCAAAGCAGCCAATCTAGGTGGCCATTTTTTTTCATTGGCACTGATTGCACTGATTGACTTTAGCCTTCAAAAGAAGATATGAGGAAGGCTTGTCTCAACAGTAACTTCTGCTGTAGTGCCAAAATGAGTTTTCGATGTGTACTATTGTATATGAACATATATTTGGTGTTTGAATTATTAAAATAGGCAGTTGAAGGCATATTTTGAGAAGGTCTCAAATATTTATGGGTTTTAGCTATTTGCCGCTGGCGGTGGTCCCTTACCCCACAAGTACAAAAGGTTTACTTTACCAGGAACTGATCCTGACTAGGTCTGTTTAACACATGTTTGACTAAGAATAGTCTCTGCTGAAATGCACCAATCAATCTGACAAATATTGGAATCTGTTTTCCCATGATCTCTCTTTAAATGATGATCAGCAGGTGAAATACTGAAAAATGTATTCCTCTAAAACCTCTCACCATGTTCACTCTATAAACACTTCAACCAAATTGTCATACTTTGGTGCACGTTTTGGAGTTGTGGTTAATAAAAAATTGCTTTATTGCATGATGGGTGGCGATCTTGTAATTTCTGTTGGTTTCAAAATTATTTTCTTAAATTTGTGTCTGGAGCTTTTTTCTTCTCACATACAGTTGTTGGAATTAAAAACTGTGAATCAGCAGGCCAGTTCTGAAAGAAAATTGTAAATCTTTCATCGGCCAGGAAAAGCCTAATCAGTGGATCTCTGTGAGAAAAAACAGCATCCACGCCACTATGTAATATAGCTTGCAATTTTAAATAATAGGATACATTTAGCTAGCACCTCAGCTTGAAAATATTCTGTTAAAAAGCTAATCCTTTTGCAATCCTTAACGCATCAACAAAACCCCTGTGCTGCTGAGGCAACCATCACACCAAACGTGCTGAATGTGATACCCCCCAATGGAGGCTTATTCAGCTCGAATGAAAGAATCTGTTTCACATCCAAGTGGGGAGAATGTTACTCTTCTTCACAAAACTGTCCCTTTCACATTTTTAGAAGAGAAGTCTAAAAAGGATATCAGGGGAATTGAACCTGGGGCGAAAACCGATGCTCCAATCAATCCCAAAACCCGATCAGTTTCATCTGAAGCAGCCTAAAAGGAAGGATCCCTGATAAGGACGATCTCGCAAAAGAAATGGTGCTGTCACAAAGCTGCTGGTCTGAGTGAATGAAACCAAGGAAAGAAGTAGTCAATGGAAGTGTAAACTCAAACGCTTCTTATAACAACGAGGAAGTAAAGGAGGCATGCCCAGATATGTTCCATCTCTGAATGCTAATAGATGTTAATAATCTATTATTACTGCATTGAATTAGAGTACGAGGAAAAGAACATTGTGTGTGAATAACGGCAGGTTTCCTGTCAGAGGCCAAGAGGTCGAGCTCAGATGTGTCAGAAATTAGAATCATTTGAGATCCCCGTTAACCGGTGGTTTTCACGGCTCAACTTCCTTTGAGGAAAGTACGGAGCATTTGGATGATACCCCGGCAGACCTTCAGCGGGTTCAGAACCACATAGCTGACATTCTCCTTTTTCCAACTGGTGTTTGGTTTATTAGTCTTTTCAGCTGCTCTGTCGAAGAGATTCTGGTAACTTCATGGAGCGCCAAGTGAATGTCGGGATTCAACTCGACATTTACCTCAAAAGGATAAAAAAAGTAATTCCATATGTTTCTATATACTTGAAATAAGCAAAGTTTTGTCCTAGCAAAGCAGAAGAATATATTGACTTATATTTTAATATAGTGGGGGAAGTAGGATTAAGTTTCACTTTGCAAGGTTTGATTTTATTGTAGCTCCAGGATCATGCTGTTTTGTTTTGATGTCACTTTATGGGTGTGTATTTAAAATGTGAACAGAGTGTGCAACAGTTTAAAACCAAACTGCATTGGTCTGGTATGCATGAGCCAAACTAAACAACTAATACCGAAACTCTTCTGTAAGAGAAACTTACTCCATCAAGAGGAACATGAGGTACATTTTGCATTACCTCATGATAATTGATCATTGTTGAATCAATTTGTTATAGTCCATAAAATGAAATAAAAACCCAGATAAAGATTCAGATCTATTTGATTGGATATACGAGATGACTGTGAATCGGTTTTGGCTTTTGTGCCTGATTGGTGTGCTATAAAATCCAAGCTGTCCTACATATTTTTGGATTATTGGAAGAATTTGTTACGGTGGATCTCAAATCAGTATAATAAAATATGTACTGTACAACTTGTGATTAGGATTTGATTTCTTTCAAACTGGTAAAAAAAATGAATCTCTTTGGTTATATGTATTTAAACAGGACTCTTTGATCAGTTTGTATACCTTTACACTAACCTGGACATTTGTTTCCTTACTTTACTTCTTTACTTTCCTTCACTTACACTTTACTTTTTTTACTACTTTTCCTTTCTGGTCTGTGAAAGATTCACATTGCTGCAAATATCTCAACCAATTAAAACAGTGAATAAGAGGACCTAAAGAGCACATTCTTCACCAAGGCCAGTGCTGTATTTCACTTTTTTTTATGTGTGGTTTTAAAAAGGGCAAGAAAATTATTTTATGCTGGACACATTCTGAAACTCTTCAGCCAGTCTTCTCAAGATTATACAGCTCTCTGTATAATCTTGGAAAAAGAAAAATGGACAAACGGCTCCTCTTCTTTTTGACCATACTGTTCGAATAAAAGTGGCTCAAACGTGAGTCGTTTTTTAAATCACATCTGAATGATGTTTACATCTCTTCTGAGAGCTGCTTTTCTTTTCTGAAGACAACCACACCACTTTACTCCTTTTCTGAATTTTTCTCATGTAACTCTGAATATAGTTGTCAAACCAAAATCCCCAAATATGAAGTAAATTATACATGAACTGGTGCTAAGCTTTTGCCTCCCTGTAAAGCCATATCTGAAATCAGCAGGATTGAGTATTTTCTTTTTTTTTTTTGCAGCTCCCACCCTGTCGAGATGCGCAGTATGCAGGGCAGAGTAGTGCAGGTATTTGTCATAGTGACCTCTTTCTCCATGTGCGGAACCACTGTTACAGAAATCTGAACAGACAGACTCTTGAGTTTTTTGCAAAGAGCCCGACTCCTGCTGTTTGCCACTGAACAGCCTCAGTAGTATTTTGCAGTGAGTTTGCTCACTTTCAGTGTGTGTATAGGAGGCTCCTCCAGAAAACAGGTTTCCTGACTGTAGTTCAGAGCAGCTCACTGTCACTTTCACCAGGGAGTTGAAGTGACTGCTCTTTAAAGCAAGTGCTAGCCTGGGTGGTTTTTCTATTAAACATGCTCTTGAACTATTTTTTTTTTTTAATGGAACCAAGGAAGTAGACTACCTTACTTGCTTTGCAATCGATTATTTTACAGAGCATTCAGTTGTTCTCTTTATTGTATTTTGTTCATTGGCTCTCACTCGACCTCAGTAGCTGCACTCTGTAAAGTATTTTAAAGTATTTGCCATGTATCAATTTGTTTCTCTCCTGCAAAGAAAACAGTCTCTAACCAAAGGACCTGCTGGGCTTCGTTTGCCGTAATGCAGGTGGTTTCCTGGTGTGATGTGGTGAAGAAAAGGCTGAGCCAAAAATCAAAGCTCTGGATTAACTGGTCCGTCTACGTTCCGGCACATAACTATGGTCATGAGATATAGATCATGATTAAAAGAACAAAATCCAGGATAGAAGCAGCTAAAATTAACTTCCTCCTCATGGTGGCTGAATTCAGCGGTAGAGATTGGGTGAAGAGCTCCATCATGTGTAGTAGAGGCTCTGCTTCTCCACATTGAAAGGATTCAGTTGAGGGATCTGATCAGGATGCTCATGGGCTCCTCCCTTCAGAGGTCTTACAGGCATGAGGAGACCCCAGGGTAGAACCTTTTCCGGAGGGAATATATGTCGTGTCTGACCTGGGAATTCCTTTAGATTCCTTGAAGATGTTGCTTGGGAAAGGAATATGTAAGGTTCCCTCCTGGACCTATTGCCTCCATGAGTAGACTAAGCTTTTAGAAACACATAAATTGTAGCTAATGATGGGTTGCATAACCGACTGAGCCCTTCCCTATGTTTGTTCAGTAGTTTATATAAGAGTAGTCACTTCCCAAAGTTAGGAATCTAAGGTTCAGCAATGGACCATCAGATAAGAAATGTCACCTTCTAGAAGGGACTAACAGCACCGATTCATTCAGCATTCAGGCTGTGGGAGAGCGAGAGAGAGAGCTGGATAGAAAAGCTGCACTTTGTTTAGCCTTCCTGGTAATTGTAGTCTCCGCTTTATCCATTAATGCTTTCAACTTCTGTTGGGTTTGCAAATGTTAGCAGTGTTTTCGAAATCTCTTTGACGTAACATAAGTCTTTTTAATTCACAAAGGAATACACACAGAGACCTTGGTTTGCAGCTAAAGCTATGATCATTCCCAAAAGAACTGAAAAGTCATCTTAGGAAAATCTGTAATGTGTAGAAAAGTTGTAATCTCCTGTAAACCTTTGGTCAAAATAGTTTTCATGGGGCTGAGTCTAATTCTTACAGAGGTTCCTGTGGTAGGACTTTGTTTTCTAAAGGTTGCGTTTCATTGGTCTCAGTAGCCGCTATCCTGCACCTCTTGGTTGCATCCTGACTACCAACGCCTGAATCAAATGGCTGAATTATCTTCTTAGCATGTTGGCAAGTTTTGCTAAGTCCTGGTTTTGTTTAGATGGAAAATCTAATAGTTATGTATCTTTTTACACATGGAGCAACTCTTGGAAATTTCCCTGGTGATATTACTAAATATTTTTACTCCTGTCCTACCTGCCGTATGTGGCTCCAGACAGCATTCAGACAAAAGGAATTATAAACTTGTGCAATAAGCAAGCACACTTAAGCTCATATGTTTCCTTCTTCACTTTTTATTGTGGTTGAAAATTCCAAGTTTTGGTGAAGTGTAGACAAGGCGTAAGCCACAGAGACTATTTATAGGCTTAGGCGGCTCAGGGCTTGCACCATTCTGCCATTTCTCTGCCTGACTCATCTCCATGACAGGGTAGGAACTTCTGTGTTTCTTCACCAGCTGCTGGAGGCGATGGGCTTTCCAAATTAGTCAGGCACTCCTTGCTCTTTTACTAGGCAAATTAATTGAATTTAAATTTGTTTTTAGGAACATCCGGGCTTTTTTGCTGGTTTCTTGCCAAAATGAGTATTCCTGCAGGGAGCAGAGATCACCCAGATGCATTCAAACTGAGTCACTGTGGCTGGGGCATAAGCTGACTTTCTGCTGAAAAAAAGTTTTTAATTTGCATCAACAACCAAATTACTGAGTACACTTTGAATTAAACTTTAATTTTACTTAAGCTGCACTCATGAATGTTTATTCTACATTTTCTGATGAGCATAATCAAAACCAGATTTGGGATTTTTAGAATAATTAGATGAATACTGAAACCTTGAAGCTGTTCTCAATTAAGGTTGTATATTCTTCTTGGATGGTAACTGGCCTTGTACAGATTTTAACATGAGTTCTTTGAAAATTGACCATTAGATGCTGAACTAGGAACTTTTGAAACCATTTCTTCACTTCCTGCAAAACCTTCTCATTTTAGCTAATCAAATGAATACATGGAATAGAAAGAAACTTTGGCTAAATAAGGAACAGACCAACATCTAGTGTGACATATTTAAAGTTTTTTTTAAAAACACTGCAATATAAAGAGCAAACTACTCACTTCAGATGTGACTGTTTTACATAGTTATGAATCTGGGATTTTCCATGTTTGTCATCTATTTTGATGGATTAAATACAGAGAGCAAAAAAGTTTATTCAATTCACTGAGTGGAACTTATCAAAGATTTGCTGATTTTGATTGCTTACAAATTAAATAACTTATACTTTGAGAATAAAACAGAATATAGATTGAGATATTTAGTCTGTTGCTCATTTTTCTGTTTTAGTATTAACATATTTTCACATTTCCACAACATTAAGAAAAAGCTTTCTAACCTGATGCAAGTTAAAAGGCTTAAATGATGCCGTGTTATTGTAATTGATTTGGAGGAGGAAGGGAGCTGCTATGTTAAACTAGAATCAGCATGTGGCAATTTAATAGAAATCGTATGCCAGTTTGAAACTCAGCTAATAAGAGACGCAGAAAAATAATATTTTAATCAAGTTTTGTTGCGCATTATTGACTTGCTGTGTTTTGGCCAGGGGCAGAAAAGAGCAAACTTATTCTTACTAAAACTGAGACACAAAGTTTTGTGTTTTTGACATATTGTAGATTATTAATCATTTTGTAATGAGAATCAGCTGAGAAGTCGGTGCCAACTGGGTCGAAAGGCACAAATGTTTTGACATGCAAAGATCTCTGCAGCAGAGGCCACAGAGGCTGCTTGCTCATGCTGTGAAAACAAATTCTTAAAATTGTTTGGAAAATGAAATGTGAAACATAGGCAAAAGCAACAAACTGCATTGGCCGGTGAAGGCCTGACCGAAACTCCATCAGTCTGCACCTTCATCAGTACTCCTCAAACCTGAAACGACCTTCCCACTCCTGTCGGAGCAGAGCTGCTGCTGTCCTCTGAGTGTTGGGGGTTGAAAACTAATCTGTTCAAGAAGTACCTCACATCGCCATCATGTTCCTCTTCAATCATCCATCCCTTTCCAGCTTCCTCCTCCTCTTCCTCCCTTTATCCATCCTGAAGTAAAATTAAAAATCTTTCCCTCCTCTGTCCTGGTGCTTTTTGGATTTCATTTTAATTCATTCAGTAACATTGACTTTGACTGTTGACCTCTGCGCTCTCACTGGAACCAAACCTTTATTATGCACCAGTCTGCACTGAGGCTTACAACAGCCAGGATGTTATTGTATTTAAGGAATTGTAAGGTTCAGTTGAGGGACAGGTACAAAAATCCTTTGCAAAGTTGATTCAGAGTGTGGGTAAAGAGAGGTTTTTGTCTAAGTTTGGAGAAAATTTCGAGGTGTTGCGCTGTAAATGAATGCATTTAGGAAAGGGATAAGCTGTATTTAATAGCAAGGGCATCTTAGGTGAAAACTAGAGCCATGTAGCTTACACCACAGAATCCGTTGATTTGTTTCCCATCATAAGAGATTGAGAGCAAAGTGTTCTTTGCTGCAACTTTATTGCCTTCCTGGGTTCCACTCAGAAGCAAGAAATCTCTCCCCATCCCCGCACCCTCCTAAAATCGAGAAGGGGACAAATCAAGCCTGCTTCTCAATTCACTCCTGAACGACAGAACAAGGGTCTGAATGGGTGAAGGAGATCCAAAGGGAGAATTAGAAGCCGGGCTGTTACTCGGACTTCATGTTCAAAGGTACAAATTCTATTTCTAGTTGAGACGAGGAGGAACTAGGGATGAACCGAACTCTTTAAGCATTTAAAAGCAAAGAAAAGGACACTTTATGCCAACAGTCGTGGGTTTTAACTCTAATCCATTTAAATGTTTGAAAGTAAACTGCAATAAAATTTTTAATTTTACAAGCATTTTTCTTTTTTATTAGAACTTAATTTGTTTCCATTCTTCAGCAAACAAATGAATGACACAAACTGAAAGTCCAAGTAGACACTCTAATGTGAGAACAACCTTGTTTAAACATGGACAGTGTGAAGAATAGAGCTGCCTACCTTCAATGAACTGCTTAAACCAAAACCTTCTGGTCTTCTTTTTTTTTTTTTCAAAATTCTCTTCAGGTGCTTTCTTTCCAGTTCCATATCTACCAAAGTAAACATTTCCTATTCTCTATCTCATGTTGTTGAGAATATCTGGCCGGTTGGACCTCCCTATACCTTCAGAACTGCCTTAATCGACTTTTTTGAGCTTTACATCATTTTATAATGTTATTCCCTCATCAAAAACATACATGGGGAGTTGCCTTGATTCTTTCATGCATGTTTGAGAAATCTTTGAATCTCCAGTGGAAACCATCCAGGTGTGCTAATCGCCTGGGTGATCCGAGCCCTTACTTCTCCTCAGAGTTGCGGTTTCCAAGCTGAGAGTTGGGAGTATTT